GCTACTAGGGGCTCCTGGCCTTACTACTAGGAACAAGGACGCTACTAAAAGATCCTGGCCTTACTACTAGGAACAAGGACGCTACTAAAAGATAGAATGTTCTTTTTAAAATTATCTTGCTCAAATAGAATTCTGACGGGATGTTAAAGATAGAATGCGTGATTGAAGCAAAGTCACAATGAATGGGGACGCAAAGTGTTATCCTTATTGAGAACAGAAACACTCTCTAACCCGGACCAACGTTGTTGAATGCAGTCGAAACCCATAGATTCCGACAAACAAATCAACAATGACATGACATTCAACAACAAAGCGTCTATAGGTCATGAACCATGTCACAGACCTGGTTCACAGCCAGTCAACTCGTTCAGTCGTCTCTTCTCGTACCCTCAGTGTGTCCCAGCCGTTTGCTCCCGTTCTTTGCCAGAACTACGCGCCTTTTAGTGCAGCGTTGTACTGCTCCATGATCTGCTTGGTCTCGTTGCTACCCTGGCGGATTGAGTGGGCTTCACCTTTTCGACAATCCCGCAATACTCTGCTCGTCTGGTGGAAACACCCTCTCTTCATTGAGAGGGTAGCTTTAGTGACTTGCGGACCTTCCCTTTGTTCCCAGTAGCGATGCCCTTGCTCCGTTCGTAGCGATGCCCTTTGTGCCTAGTAGCATCCACCTAAAAACTTGGACGATCTCTGACATGCTGGCTCCTTTCCATCCACGCTCGCGTGTTGAACTTCCAGCAATGCTCAGCATGGCTCAAGAAGTGAACTAGCGGTGTGAACTGTCGCTTCCATGTCATCTCTCTCATACAGGGGCCATCTACCTCAACAAGTTGGGGCCACCCTGTGTGATAGAGCTTTCTGCAATCCCCTCAAAAGCATTCCAAAAACCTTTAACATCTTCCCAGGAGAAAAACGCAGAAAGACCTGCTCTGAATGAGCGTCTATGACCAAACCTCCGTGCTGCGAGGTCGCTGGAAGTTTGGGAAGGCAGATGCGATCTGCCTTTGGAGACTGCGATCAGCGCATAACAAGAAGCTACGAACGTAGCCAAGGGCATCGCTACGAACGGAGCGTTCGGACGCTACGTTCGGGGCTCCTGGCATCGCTACTAGTAACCATGTTTTTGCATGTTGCATCATTTTGCACCTGCGGGGCAACAACAGAGTACCCCTACGGACTCCATGGCTCGTTCCTCTTGGCCTTTCATACCCCTCTTCGATGTGGCTCAAACAAACTCTCTCATGTGAAACTGATCCAGCGAAAACCTGAAGCAAAATGGAGCAAATCACCTACTCGAGGATGGTTCACTAGGTCCTCAAACATGTCGTGGGTCGTTCTCACGCGTTGTTCCATCATCTTCCCATCTCCATCTCTCAACCCTTCTTTCAACCCTTCACCTTGGGCTCCTCGAAGACAGGCTTTTCTCGCGCAATCTCCTCAAGGAGGCCCAGCTGGCGCCAAGACTCAAGGATGCTGTCCTTCCTGAACGCAAAAACAAATGACAAACGACAAACAAACATAACAAAATCAAAAAAAGAGACATAGAAAATTGTTATTATCTACTTTTTCTGTTTTTATTATTGTTATTTGATTTTTCCTTCCAGAAAGCAAAAACCACGGCAATCGGTTTCGGAGCGACATCGTTGAGATGTTGGACATCTTTGAAGTCTGTTCGAATCCAAACGCAGCACAAGTGATGTTTGTCTTGGCATCACATTGGTCTTTTGGATGAAATCACTTCTGCAGAAGGACCTGACATTGAACTAGTTAAAATTCTCAAGAAATTGCCCGCTTTTGAATTTCTTCACACTCTGTCGGCAAATCACCTTTCCAGAACATAGAAGCCTTTGTGCTTCTCTGTTGAGTGCTCAATTCCTCCCGACATGTTCAAACACCTTTCAAGGGACCAACGTGGAGGGCTCTCTACTTGCTTGCCCCTGATGAAAGGCCAAATGAGTTTGCATAATTCATGAGATTTCATGGTAACATCAGTAGGTTGGAGGCCATTGCTAGTGGTCTAGAAACCAAATCATTAGTGCAAGCGCTTCTTCAAGGAGGCTTCCCCGCCACCTTGAGGGCAGCGGGGGATCTTCCTTGAAAAAGCGTGAGCTATCCTGCATCCTAAGTGGTAGCTACTTGCGCTACTAGCTACCTCTTTTTGGCTACTACCTCTATAGCTGGCCTACCCCCCCCGAGCTCAAAACCAGAAAAAGTCAAATATGGTTTGCTATTAGGTTGGCCCATCCTCCGATCTCGCTCCGAGCGAGTCATGGACCGAGAGAGGTGATGTGCGCAACTCATCTGCTCCTCTTGTGGTGTAAAATCATGTACTAGGAAAAAGGAAGCTACTAGTAACAAGTGCATCGCTTCTAGTAACAAGTGCCTTACTACTAGTAACAATAAGAATTTACTTAGAATTCTAAATAATAGCTTCTTGTTACTACTAGTAAGGCACTTGTAATTACTAGCAAAGGAATCTACTAGGACCTTTTCGCGCGCGCGCGCGCTCGGGGGGGGGTAGGAAACATTGTTACCACTAGTAAGGCACTTGTTACTAGTAGCGATGCACTTGTTACTACTAGGAGCAAAAAAGCTATTAGCTTGTTGTTTCTACTAGCAAACATTGTTACTACTAGCGTGGCACTTGTTACTACTAGCAACATGTATAAATAGGCAATCAGTACTGTGCCCGTGGTGATGTGCAGTTGTGCAGTGCTGTGACGTCTTTTTTGGTTCACCGCGCCTTTTAACACTCAGTGTGCGAGTGAGACCATGTGAAATCCGTAACAAACCTGTTCACTGTCTTGGAGACTTCCCTGAATCCACACCTACTCGAATTAGGCTCCCGAATTCACCCGAAAAAGAACCAAGCTGACCGGGGGCGCCTCAAAACAGTAGGGTTTTGGACCTTTCTCATCCTTTCTCCATCACCCATGATCTAAACCATGTATCTAGACTAGATGAAACCAATGGATTCTACAAAACCAGAAACCAAAAAACAAGTCGATTCACTGCGAGGCACATGCCATAGGACGAGAAGGCCAAGAGCACACCGTCCGGTACCTTGAAGAGAAGATGGTATGAGAAGCCACGACTCAGCGGGTCGTCGACGTCTAAAGCACAGGTCCGGTCTTACTTGCAAAAGGTAGCAAAGAAAGCAAAGACCGCATTCATGCAAGTAGGAAGAGGGAATGAAGTCCAAAACTAAGACATGTTACATCGTTTGAACAGTAGTGTACAAACACGGAATGATTCTGATGGAAGGAAATCAATCGCTTTGCTCTTGCAGCTGATCAAGCCCAGCTGCGCTTCCGGCAAGACGCTTCACCGTGGCCCCCAGCTCCTGCAGCCGAATAGCTGTACGGCTCAAACCCCCAGGGCAAACTCTGTGGCTCATGCAGCATGGTCCACTGGCACCCAACCACTTCATAAAACGTGAACAACAAGCGATGGCCTCTACCCTACTAGGGATGGCCTCCACCCTAGTAGCGATGGCATCCAACCTAATAGCGATGGCCTCCAACCTAGTAGCGATGGCCAACCTAATAGCGATGGCCTCCAACCTAATAGCGATGGCGTCCAACCTAAGCCTCCACCTTAGTAGCGATGGCCTCCACCCTAGTAGCGATGGCCTCCCACCTAATAGCGATGGCCTCCACCCTAGTAGCGATGGCCTCCAACCTACTAGCGATGGCCTCCAACCTAATAGCGATGGCCTCCACCCTAGTAGCGATGGCCTCCAACCTACTAGCGATGGCCTCCAACCTAATAGCGATGGCCTCCATACTGTTTCAACGCCTGTCCTTGATGTATGCCATCTCGTTTCGGTGCTGGAAGCTTGCATCCAAAGACCCCTGGTCATGAGTGACTTCGGTCTCGTCGCACTTGTGACTTTCAATGCCAATCTCAAAGTTTGATCACGCACATTCTGTATGAAACCAACGTCTTCAGAAACAAAGTCTTTGCTTCTTGCAGCTGTCAAACATTTTCCCACTCTACCATCCAACGGTTCTCAACGGTTAGAGGCGCCCACTCCGCCTGGGTGGGGCCCTCAGAGAGCACAGCACCAAAGACTTGCTTTCCTGGGAACGATTGGCTGCAGCTCTTTAATCGAGCACAGCACCAAGGCCTTTTCTCTTGATCATCCCCAAATACCCACCAACTGCAACACCAGCTGCGTCGGTTCCATCTTTTGCGCGACAAGCAAATGTACCTACATTCTTCTCAATACTTGTTTCTTCCCCGCTTTGCAGGCCAAAACCGGGAGAAAATATGCACATTCGATCAAAAGCACATGAACTTGGAGGCCATTTGGACGACCCGTTCACGACGCCAACGAGGTCCCCTGCGTGGGTTGATGACGTGGCGGTTCTCCAACACCACCGGAAAAGGGACCTGGTGCGAAATCATCTGCGAGAGAAAGAGACTTTGTGAAGATGTGGTGTGATGTAGTGTAAGGTTAACTTATTTGCTTTGACTGTTCAGCTTTCCTAAAAATCTAGGGAACCAAATCATTAGTGAAGCTCCCCCTGCCCTCAGGCGGGGGGAGCTTCCTTGAAGAAGTTCGAGCTATCCTGCGTGCAAGGTAGTAGCTACTTGTAGGTACTAGCTTCCTCTTCTACTAGCTACTACCTACCTCGGCTCGTGGCCTTCCCCCCCGGCGAGGGGTAAAAAAAAAAGACAAGATTACTACTAGCTTCTTGTTACTACTAGTAAGGCACCTGTTACTACTAGCGTGGCACTTGTTACTACTAGCTTCTTGTTACTTGGTGTAAGAGTTCGGTTCTGAAACACTAGAGGCCTTTGAGTTCTCACGAGTGCAACTGATCGTTTTGGCTCTTGCGGAGTTTTTTCCGTGATCCTGTTGGCAGTGGATCTCTCCCGTTCTCTACCCCGGAAAACCAGAACGACTCTCTTGGTGAAGTTGGTATCATCTACGAACCGAATACTATCACATGATGTGGTCCTTTGACAATTATGAGCATTACAACATATCGGCTTCAATGAAGGCTCCAGTTTCCCGGTTCCAATCATTCAATGGTCAGATCAAAGGTCCCTATCTCTCAGATTTCCATGCCAGATTCTGTTTGAACAAGCATCTTTACGAACCGATCCAAGAAACACTTCACCAATCCCTTCAACCAATCCATTCACCGGTCCAAGTCGCGCCGAAGGCTTCTGCTGTGCTGCTGATGGGTGACAAGGTACCTCAACTAGAAGTCGGGCCGCTTCCACCATGTTCTTGCATTGACTTTTTGTGCAAGTGGAAGGACGCTACGAACGGGGCTGATTTGGTGAAAGGTTCATATTGGTTCATGGTTCGTTCGGATGTTGTCCCGATTTCCCACCGACTTGTGCCGCATGAGATGTGCTGCATGAGATGTGGGCAAACACGTTTCCGCAAGTCCCAAATGCGGTTGAACACCACCTGGCCATTGCTTCTAGGTTGGAGGCCATCGCTCTTAGGTGGAAAGCCATCGCTCTTAGGTTGGAGGCCATCACTCTTATATAGGTTGGAGGCCATTGATATTAGGTTGGACTACTCGCGCCCTTCACCAGAACCTCCACTATCGCGAAACCACCGGAACCTCGACCTGTAGGCACTGCCGACCTCCCACGACACCGTGGCCACACCGTGGCCGTGGGCCCCGCACCTGAGGTGATGATCACTGAATGAACCTGGGTTTTGGCGACGAACAGGCAATGTGGGTTTCTAACCGCACAGAGGCATGGCCAGTACATCATCAGTTCCTCCTTTGCCCTGCAATCACTGAATGACAATCACTCAAAAAATCCTGGAACTCCTGTTCTCTGATGCTATGAAACCAGAGGAAATGCAAGTGAAGACGAATCAAAGGAACTTCTTTTGATCCTTTTTGCTCCGAGCTTCTCAAACGGCTGCCGCGCGTCCGCGTCGCGGCGACAGGCGAGTCCCTAACGTGGCCTCGTGCTTCAGAAGCTCCTTCATGGTCACTGAGCAGGAGAAGCACCAAAGACACACACGGCGAGGGCTATGGCCATCCCTGGCAAACGGAAGGCCCCATGGAGTCGACGAAGGGGCACGACATGGGATCTGCATAGATCGAACATCGAATGTGAACCTCATCTGTCTTGATCATTGAGGTTCTTTGGAGCGATTTTTCCAAATTCCACTACCTATTCAAACGTTGGAACTGTCCCTAACGTCCTATGAGAATGAGGGTCTTTGAAGATATATTTGGGTCTTAGGTGCATGACTTGTCCATCAACTAGAATGCCTTCTTCCAGGGTCACCAACTTGAATTTTGATAGGTGCCTCCACTGCTGGCACGTTTGAAGAGGACCTTTGTATCTTTGTGCCAAAACAGTCTTAGGAGGAGCAATAGTAGGAGTCTGCACACTTACAGCCTCTATTTCCTTTGCAATAGAACCACTATCCATAACACCTGGCCTAGAGATTGCTGGCCTAAATACTCCCTCTCCATCCGTGGAGTACTGAGCATCCCCGGCGTCCGAGAGCCATCGGTTGTGAAGAAGTCCATGGCCTTTCGCTTTTGGCCTTTTTTCTCCTCCTGACAAGGCCCGCGGTCGGTCGGCTTGAAGTTTTTGGGGCGAAGGATGGTGATGGGGTGGGATGGATATCAAGATATATCAAGTGATGTCAGCTTCGAAGATGGATGCATTGATGCTATTGCGTCCGTATTCCCCTTCATTGCACCATTCCAGGCAGTCTTGAGGAACAACTGCTCTGTTCGTATGCTTTCCAGACTTCTCGGAGTATGCTGGTCATGGCCGGGGCTTCGCTTATAGATCCCAGGCCTGGGTTTCTCCAACTCTGCAGGAGCCCCTAGTAGCTTCTTGCTACTAGTAGCGATGCCAGGAGCCGCTAGAAGCATCCTTGCTCCTAGTAGCGAGGCCAGGAGCCCCTAGTAGTGTCCTCAACACGGCCCTTTTCATCATCGACACCAGCACAGGTCATCACCTTGTGCTTCTAGCTTGGTAGTTTGTTATTGAAGTTCGACCGGTGTGCTCGACTGACGGAGATCCTCGTAAATCAGCATCTGGTAGTTCTTGTCCAGGTCCTGCATGGTCGACATGGAATGCCAGGGTCTGAACTGAAGGTCACAACAGCTTTGGCATCTGTTTCAGGGGATGACGGAAGGAGGCCATCGCTACTCGGGTGGAGGCCATCGCTACTAGAGTGGAGGCCATCCCTATTAGGTTGGAGGCCATCGCAAGGAGGTTGGCATATCAGTGGATGACTCACATCAGTGGACGTTGTCATCCACTTTTCGCGCAACGACGGCATCGAAAGACGTCTAGGATTAAATACTGTTGCAGTTGTTTTGGAGCACATGTTTCAGAAAAGGACCTTCCTGGGATGTTCCATCAAGTGTCTCTCGCCTGCTGATTGTTTTGCTTTGCTTTTGATCTTGTAATTTCCAGCTGATTGGCTACAATCCTTCTCAGCCTCCACTGACCACGAGATACCATGAGCAGACCTAGATCTTGTACTCCAAAGACGCACATTGATCAAACTTCGCCAGTCCTCTTTGTCATGCTGAAAGGCAGTCATCATGAGCTGTTGGATTTTCTCCAAGTATTGCCCTCCTGCTGCAGAGAATAGACATGAAGGATGGACAGCTGTTGCACATGTTACAGTCTGACGATGGACTACAAACAAGGAATGCTTCCATGGTTGGCTTGCAAACACAAACAATCTGACTCTCTCCCTCCCTCTTCTTTTTCCGCCGGGAATTGATTGGACATTGGACTTCCGCGAAAACAGGGCACTTTCTTCAGAAGACTTACGAACGTGGACGCATCAGATTGACCTGCCATGAGACTCCAACCGGCTCATGTGGCTACTACTCCTTGGTGGCAACTTGTCACTGTTGATGGCGCATCGGAACCGATCTTCGAAGGAAGCCAACCAACAAGTCTTCGCTCGATGCTCTTCGTCCCCAAAACACTAAGCTCCCAGAGGCCATCGCTGGTAGGTTGGAAGCCATCGCTACTGTCAACCACCTGTCCAAAGTGCCCTGACTCGACTAGTGCACGGAAGTCTGGAGAAATCCAAATTAGATAAATCTGGAGGCCCAAAAACAGATCACACTGTGATCTCCTCCGGCAAAATTCGTAAACACTAAGGCGAGCCCTGTCACGAAGGAACTATTGGGGGTCGGATTGAGATTTTCACGAAACAAAGAACCAGCAAGATGTGAGAATTCCTTTGAACGGATCTGGTTTCCACCATCCACGAGTTCCTTTTTCCGGAGATCTGTTCAAATCACCCCCGGTTGCAACAACATCCAGCGTGACGTCACAACCCTTCACAGCGTACACCGTGTTGGTGTCTGGTAGTCCTTCACCCACAGCTTTGAACTTGATAATCGGTGCCAAGCCGGGAGCTGCAAGAAGCTCTAAGAGGATAAGACGATTATCTCTTGATATGTCAAGTCCTTTTGGAAGCTACGACTGGTGGAGGCCATCGCGTTTATAGGTTGGAGGCCATCGCGCCGCCAGAAACAAGAAGAGGGTGTCTTTTGAGCCCAAGACTTTCGGTTCACATCTTCTTTCACGCTGCCGACTTGTGGAGGTTCCGCCGTGGAAACCCGGTTGTGACAGGACCGGTTGCAAAACCTGGAAGAGATGAGAAGAAACAGTCTTTTCTACGTCAAACCGAGCCACGCCCAAAGGAGCTGCTCAAAAAAGATTCCTTTCACACGCTGCCACATCGCGCACCCCTGCATGACGCCTTGTCAGAAGAGGCAACCCCAGCAATGTCTGGGCATTGATTCTGATGGGGTTAGGGTGGAGGCCATCGCAATTAGGTTCCTTAAGGTCTTTTTCTACAAGGGCATGTTTATATGGAGTAAGAATGCTTTCACTCAGATAAGGAGCTTGATGGCTTTGAGTCTGCTAGAATCCCATACGGAATTCGGTGAAACAGGGCTTCTCAGCTGCACATTTGGTGAATGACTGAAGAGCCGAAAAAGGAACAGCATGCTGGCTGGCTCGGATCGGGATTCCGTATGATCCAATGTCAGGGGCAGCTTTCAAGGGGTCTTTTTGGCAGAACATGATTCTTCATAGGTTGGAGGCCATCGCTACTAGGGTGGAGGCGATCCCGACTAGGTTGGAGGCCATCGCTATTAGGTCTGCTTCAATGAGACTCATAGCTCCAAGACACCCCTTCCGGTCGTATGGACCAATGCCGTCCGAACGAGCATGCAAAGAACGTACTACGCATGGGAAAGCCTCTAGTCAAATGTGCACTTGCACCTGCTCCCTTGGAGCCGCAAGGAAAGTTCACATAAGTTCACACAGTCAACCCCAAGTCCTTAAACACTGACTAAGCAGGGAGACCTTCGGGCTTGGTGCCTACATCTCACAAAAGTCCACGTTCAAACACCGCGTCCTCTTACCAAACTCTACACAGACACGCTCACTTCTATCTCGTTGTCGGAGTCATGCATTCCTGGCCAGTCGACTGCTGCAGTTTCGTATTTCTTAAAGTTTGCAAATGAGGTCTCATGGTTTCTTTTAATGAAACAATACATGTGTCTTCTGTGAGGCGCGACTCCCTGCCTGCTGCTTCCCGTTGGCGATGGATCATCTTGGCAAACCTGGCCAAGCCCGACCCAGCTTCCCAACAGAACAGCCTTCTAGAGGTTCGATTCTAACCCCACCACAGCAAAAATGTCCTTGAGATAATAAAATTCATGGAAGGCAGGTAGTAAACCTGAGAGACTTTTTGGAATCAACTGGGGCAACGCCAGAAGTCTTGGAGACTGTCGCAATTTCACAGCAACTCCTTGGTCTTGTGGTCTTGCATCGATAGATACAGTCTGATGGCTGTCTGTGGAACACGGCGACCTGCCGGCGCGAACCGCTCCCGGCCTCTGGGGTGATCGATCCACCGCTTTCACAAAGGTCGTCATGATCTCGGCCGACGCGTCTGTAGGTTGGAGGCCATCGCTATTTGGAAACAACGAATCAAGGACTTCGATGATTTGTGCCGCCGGGGGGGGACGATGCGTAGCTGCATGCAGCTGCATGTAGCTGCGTAGCGTCAAACGGACGCAGGGGGGCTCAGGCTTCTTCAAGGAAGTCCCTATTAGCAGGCTATATTGGATCTTTCTTCCCTTTATCTTTTATTTGTTTCTATTAGCGATGGCCTCCACCCTAGTAGGATGGCCTCCAACCTAATAGCGATGGGTTGGGGGGGAGCTTCCTCGAAGAAAGCTGAGGCTTGATGGTTTGGTTAGGTTCCTAGATATTGACAGAAACTTGTTGAGCCTCTCGGGCTTCTTCCGTGGTCCCGAAGAAGCAAACACACATCCAATCGGGAAAGACAGAAGCATCGCAAGACATGAGATGGCATCAGGAAAACACAATGAGGTTCAAAACGACGATTTTTTTGTCCCCTGGCTGGCCCTATGGACTTGGTGTTTGCCCTTTGACTCTGGACACAAAGTCATGAAAAAACCGCCATGGCCTCTCAGTGCAAACAGCTTCAAGTCTTCGAGTAGACGATCTGCCCTTCATCCCTTCTCCGATCCGAAGACACGTCTCGCCGGTTTAGATCTCACGACCCCATTGAAATCCTTCTTCCGCCTTCGTTTCTCTTCCCCGACCTGAACATGTTTGTCATGACTTCGGCGTGTTGGAGGACTTGGCATGCTCGTGGCACAACGGAGATCCCAGGAGCTCCAAGACTCCTGGCCACGAGGCGACTCCGCAGAACGCAAGGGACGACGAGCTTTGCCTAGGGTTGCTACTAGTAGTCATGCACTTTGGTTCTTGCTTGTTTTTCAAGTGGACTAGGCTCCTAGTTCAACCTAGAAGCAATGGCCTCGAACCTACTAGCAATGGCCTCCAACTTAGAAGCTAGGGCCACTTGGGTAGTTCCAAGACCCTGATGAGCAAAAGCCAAACAAGGAGGTGTCGGATCTAACCCAGTTCTTGGAATACACTCTCGGCAAGGTATTGGATATCATCCCTGCTTAAACAAACAAATCCGACCTCAACACAGCCGCCTTGACCCACCAAAGCTATGAAGCCAGCTGCTATAATTGCGGTCATCGTCCAGTTCCTTCTGTTCCTACCAAATCTACCTGCTCTGCGGCAGCCTTGTTTGAATAAGGTACACACAAACTGTTGTATTTGTATCAAGAACACTACATCAAACGTCAAATCCCTGCAATGCCCCAAAGATTTGCCCAAGAACAGGAGCTCAGGAGCGGTCAGCCTCTTAAAATCACTCTTCTCCGCATGTCCATCCGCGCTGCCTGTCCTGGCCCACCTCTGCCAGGTGAAGCTTCGATGTGGTGCAGCCCATGGGTTTGACCAACGCGATCGAGACCGGTGTCTCTTCGATGAATTGGTCGGCATACGGGAAGAACACTGTGACTCTTCTCTCTTTCTGTTCTTTCCTTCGGAATCGTTAGCACCAGTCACATGATTCCAGTACTTTGATCTGTTTCCACTGGCATCATTGCTGGGGCTTTGTGATTGATCTTCTGGCAGGCTTAAGTTCCAAAGTCCTAGTCATCCAATTGGCCAATGATTATTACTTGAACTTGTTGCGGACTCATGTCTACAAGAGTTGAGCCACACTGCTTGTGCTCATGGCATTCAAGGGAGCTTCAGCTGTGCAAATAAACACTCTCCATCATGGCAGAGACTTGTTGTAAACATTTCCCAGTTCGACTCCATGCCCACATCTTTCTAGCTTCGCCCCTCTGATTCTCCCCAAGGGCACCGAGATTGGTGTCATAGACGAACGGTCGCACAGGAACCTTTTTGCCGCCATCTTGCAGGCAAAGGAGTTGTTTGTTTGAAGTCTTGTGGTGCCCCCCAAGGGCAGGCTTTGTTGGAGGAGTCCACAAGATTTCTTTCACGACTGGCTCATCAGCTGTCGGTACTTCTTCGTTTCACCAGATGTCAGGATTTTCACAGAGTTCATCGTCCATCACATTGGGATGAGCACCAGAGCAGCCGCGATCGGGATAAGAAGTGCAGAACACGTGCCCACCAGAGCTTGTCTGGACCCCATTAGGACAAAGATAAGTTTAATCAGGAAACTCTAAGTGTTCCGACCGAAAAGTTGCCCCCCCACGTCAATTTAGGCAGACTCTTGGACAACAAACCTGTTATAGTACAGGGTGACGGTGACCTTGCTAAGAAGGAAGACATGTTTCATCAAGTGTCGGACACCTCGTCCGTCAGAACACGTGGCCATCAACACCTATTGACCAAGATGTGCTTCTGCTATCTCCTAGAAAACAGCTTCCACTCCGCAGTTCCATTGGATCCAGCACAAGCGACTGCAAGTTCCCTGTCGTAATACAAACTGGGAAGCTGGTGGTTTTCGTTACTGCAACAAAATGGCTTGAAGCCTGAAAGTGCAACACGTCCTTTATGAAATTCATCAACTTGACAACCAGCCACATGGTTGAGAACAACGATTCTTTCTGATTATTCTCCGACTTCAAGATCGTCTGCTTCCACATCGTCAGGCTCAAGGACATGCACATATTGATTGCCGTGTCCTTGAGGGCATTGCCGATGACATCGTGTTCCGCTTGGGAAACACCAAAGACCGACGGCCTGTGACGAAAAATATCTCGATCCGGTGGCGATCACGAGTCAAATGGACCTCAAAAGGACCTCAGGAACCTCGATTTGGATAGGATTCGTTCTCAAACGGTTGAATGGCTTGCTGGAAAAAAGCCCAGAAGCCGGAACTCATTGATCCTTAATTTCATCTGAAGTCACCCTGATCCTTCCGACTCCTGAAAAGCTCTCATGAAAAATTCAGAGTCTCTTCAATCTGATTGGGATCTTTCTACAACTGCAACTCACAGGAAATAGGCAGAACCGCGAAACAAGGGGTCGGTTCAAGAGGTTTATTTGAGGCCACGCTAGGCCACGAGCTTGCATCGAGAGGGATTTTCCCTCGAAAGCAAAAACCAATCTGGAAAAGTAATCTCAACTCTACTGATTGAGACTGTCTCAGTATGAAACAACTGCTTTTCCGAACCAATTTCGGGAACAGCTGCAATTTGTCAGGTGGCTCCAGATCATTTTGGTACTCATCTCTGCCAACACACACCTCTCGTTCGGTGAACCACAACATCAAAGACTTCTTCCAAGAAAACCACGACCACAGGAACCTCTCTTGGGTTCACTTCACCTCTGGCTTTCAGTTGTTTCGTGAACCACAGCAACGCACAAACCCAGTTCCACTGGGCTGTGGCTTTTTTCGAGCGCTTTGCTCGGTCACTGTGGGTACTCAACTCAGTCTTGATTTCACTAGTCTGGGGGGGGTTTGGGGTGTTTTCATCCCATTCATCACCTTCTGGATGGCGATGGGCTCAAACTGGGGAATCAAGAATGAGCGCTGAGCGCGCTACTTGCGGGGCTCGCCCTTTCAGACCACTCAAGCGTCAAAAGCCGAAAGAACGAACGAACGCGCACGGTTTCCACGACGAAGACGGCGCCGTTCCGACGGAACCGACGAAGAAGACCGCCCCAGCGATGCCCTGCGTTCCGTTCGGTTCGCCTCCCAAACGCTCCGTTCGTAGTAAGGCCAGGAACCCCGTTCGTAGCGTCCGAAATGCTCCGTTCGTAGCGATGCCCGAAATGCTCCTAGTAGCGTTTTGGCAGCATGGCATGGGAAAAGGAACTTCCTCTTCAAAAAGATTGGCCTCCACCATTGCTCGAGTGGTCAGGATCAAGCCAAACTTGGAGGTGTTTCAAAGCGCGAGGCTTTGATTCCAGGCCTTCGCTGTCCTTGGAGTTGACCTTGAAGAAAGAACCCAGAAATCTCTTCGTCAGCCATGGCATCTTTCGTCCTTTGAAAAAGTTGCCACTTCGGGTAATAAGGATGTTGAAATGGCAGATTGGGACTGCTTGCCGGTCTCTAGTTTTGTCTGATTCAAAGGTTCGAGACCAGGTCAACCCACTTCATGAGGGAGGAGCAAATCAGGTGTTGGTGTTGGTGCCATTGGAACCAAAAGGCGCAGCAGCGCTGGACCTTGCCGACCAGGCTGGCTGGCCGCCAGCCTAGTTGACACGATTCCTTTTTTCTTGATGTGGAAAGTGCCCACGAGTACTCCATGAGTGCATGGATCAGAAAGAACAAAGCTATTCCTTTCAACTCTTTTTGTCAATCTACCACAGCAAACATGGAAAGCGGTCTGGATGCCGAAATGCGGTCTAGGCACCTTGCTACTAGTAGTAAGTGCCCTTGTTACTAGTAGCGAACCTTGTTACTAGTAGTAATGCCAGGAGCTACTAGTAGCTTCTTGTCGCTACTATATTGGACCTTTCTTCCATTCCTTTTTTCTTTGTGTCTATTAGCGATGGCTTCCAACCTAGAAGCGATGGCCTTCACCCTAGTAGCGAGGGCCATGCACCCCTGTATTGGGCTCTCGAACGAACATGAGAAGGACATGGTCCTGACCTCTGCAATCGAGGGGTGACCTCCCTGACCTCCTTCGTTCGACCTCCTGCGTGCACCATCTCTTGTGTATTTCTTTGGGTCGCAGTGCTGAATCCACAGGGGCTGACGAAGGCAACACTTGCTGACTTGGAATTTCTGGCGCTTTGCCTCGTCTTTTCGTACATTGCAGCGTTCTTCGCCACCCGAGACAAATTGTCCTTCTTAGTTCCAAAGAATCACCTGTTTTGTCACATGCCAAAACCCACCAACATCCTTGGCAGTCACAGTGGGATTCCTGATGTTTCCTGCTTGGTCGCCACGCCCACACCAAGCGCGCAGGAAGAAGCGTAGCCAACTCCAAGTAGGCGACTGCGCCAGCAGGCCCTGGCGGCCACTGGCGGGTAGGTCTCCAACCTCTTTGCGATGTGACGCCCAATCCCGCCGGACACGGGATCTGAGAGACAAGACCTCAGAGTGAAAGCCTGTTGGTTCATTGGTTGAACCCCAAAAACTGTGGTTTCCGTGATGTTTCGCTTTCATCCGTTGGCTTTTTTTGGCCATCTACAGGTGGATTTTGGGAGACGGGTGATTGTCAA